CGTCTTAACTTGGGCTGTCTTCACACCACCTCTCGGCGGTAGGGACTTCAGTTCTCCCCATTCTACAAACCGGGAAGCTGAGGCTGGAGAGGTCAGGACTCGCCTGAGGTCCTGCAGCCTCCCCTGGGACCCGGCTGGGGGTGGGGCAGGGCTGACCCCTCACTCCCCGGCCCCCAGCTTCACGTGGAGTGACGCCCGTCTACACCGAGGCCTGGTGACCCTGCTGACCGGTGAAATCGTCGACTCCTTCAGCCTTGAGTTCCGGACGCTGTATGCGACCTCCTGGCCGCTCCCACCTGCACCCCGCCAGGGACCCTCAGTCATGGGGGGCCTGCAGCGGGGCCACAGCCCGCACCGCGTGTCCCGCCGCCGCTCTGTGGCCCCTGCATCGCCTCCGCCGCCTGATGGCCCGCTGGCCCACCGCCTGGCCGCCTGCCGAGTGTCCCCTGCCACCCCAGGGCCGGCACTCAGTGACATCCTAAGGAGCATGCAGCGCGCCCGGACCTCCAGCGGTCCCCCGGCCCGGCCCAGCCGCTCCCTGTGGGACCTAAGCCGCCTGTCCCAGCTGTCTGGCTCCAGTGATGGGGACAATGAGGTGAGACTTTGTGGCTGGTGCCAGAAGAGATGGAGCCCAGAAAGGGGAGGACGTTTGCCCAGGGTTGTGTAGCCTGGCTTCGGGGACCCTGCTCCAAGCCACAGAGCGCTTCCTGAGGGCCCATGCCCCAGATTCCTAATGGCATCATTTGTTCATTTCCTACACCCCTACTGCGTGCCGGGCAGGTGGTGCTGGGTGGTGTGGGGCAGAGACAGGAGAGCCCTGGGTGCAAATCCTGGCAGGACACACTAGGTGGGGGTTGGGGGGAAGCCAAGTACTTGACTTCTCTGACCCTCAGTATCTTCATCAAGGAATGGGTAGAGCAAGGGCACTCATCTTGTGTTTGGCTGTGGGAGGAAACCATGTGGCTAAATGAAATAGAGCCGTAATGATACAACAATACATTCCTGAAACAGGGAGTTCGAGACCATCCTGGCCAATGTGGTGAAATCCCGTCTCTACTAAAAATACAGACAGATTAGCTGGGTGTGGTGGGCACACCTGTAGTCCCAGCTACTCGGGAGGCTGAGGCAGGAGAATCAGTAGCAGTGAGCCGAGATCGTTCCACTGCACTCTAGCCTGGCAACAGAGTGAGACTGTCTCAAAATAATAAACAATAAACAGGCCAGCTGTGGTGGCCCCCGCCTGTAATCCCATGGGAGGCCGAGGTGGGCAGATCACGAGGTCAGGAGTTGGAGACCAGCCTGGCCAACATAGTGAAACCCCATCTCTACTAAAAATACAGAAATTAGCTGGGCGTGGTGGTGCACACCTGTAATCCCAGCTACTCAGGAGGCTGAGGCAGGAGAATCACTTGAACCTGGGAGGCGGAGGTTGCAGTGAGCCGAGATTGCGCCATTGCACTCCAGTCTGGGCGACAGAATAAGACTCCATCTAATAAATAAATAAATTCCTGAAGTGGAATTTATTTATTTTGTGACATCCTCATCCCAGGCCAGGAAGGCTACCTTCCTTTTTTTTTTTTTTTTTTTGAGATAGGATCTTGCTCTGGAATATCCTGGGAATCAAGAATTGTCCCCCTCCATCCCAGGCAAGGAAGGCTCCTAGCTGGAGAGGAGACGGGGGATGGGCAGGGGCAAGGTCCTCACCTCCACCTGGTTCTGAGTGCCCTCACCCAGCATCCCCTCCCTGGGCAAATATTTGCTCCCCCTGGCAGATGCCAGCGCTTCCAGTTCCTCCCCAGCTGCAGAGGTGGGGACCCAGCTCCCTGTCCCCTCTGTAAGTTGCAGGGAGTCCCAGGCCTGCCCTCCCACTTCCCCACTTCCCTCTCTGGCTTCCTTCGCGGTCCTCCTCCTCTGCAGCCCGCTCCTCTCTGTCCCTCCTCCTGCTGCCTCCCTGCCCCTGCCTCTTCCCCTCCTCCTTCCCCTTTCACCCGCTCTGTCTCCTCTCGCTCCTTCCTGGCTCCCTTCCTCCCTCCTCTCCTTTTTTTCTCCTCCCTCACCTTCTCCCTTACCCCTTCCTCCTCCTCTCACCTTTTTTTTTTTTTTGGAGACAGGGTTTCACGCTGTCTCCCAGGCTGGAATGCAGTGGCGTGATCTCGGCTCACTGTAGCCTCAACCTCCTGGGCTCAAGCGATCCTCCCACCTCAGCCTCCCAAGTAGCTAGGATTACAGGTGCATCCATCACACCCAGCTAATTTTTGTGTTTTTTGTAGAGATGAAGTCTCGCTGTGTTGCCCAGGTTGGTCTCGAACTCCTGAGCTCAAGCCATCCAAAGTGCTGGGATTAGAGGCGTGAGCCCTCACACCCAGCCTCCACCTCTCACCTCCCTCTCTCCTCTCTTCCCTCCCTTCCCTCCCTCATCCTCTCCTTCCACCTACCTCACATCCTCTAACACTTTCTTTTTTGTTTTGTTTTTTGAGACTGAGTCTCACTCTGTCACCCAGGCTGGAGTGCAGCGGTGAGATCTCAACTCAATGCCACTGATTCTACCGCAACCTCTGCCTTCCGGGTTCAAGCGATTCTCCTGTCTCAACCACCCACATAGCTGGGATTACAGGTGCCCACCACCACGCCCGGCTAATTTTTCTATTTTTAGTAGAGATGGGGTTTCACCATATTGGCCAGGCTGGTCTCAAACTCCTGACCTCAAGTGATCCACCTGCCTCTGCCTCCCAAAGTGCTGGGATTACAGGCATGAGCCACTGCGCCCGGCTGTCTGTCACTTTCCCTGCTTCTCTCTTGCCTCACCTCCTGCCTTCCCTGGCTCTGGGATGCCCCAGGTTCCTATCCCAGCCTCCTCTCACCTCTCTCTCTTTCCCTCCACAGCTCAAGAAGTCCTGGGGCTCCAAGGACACCCCAGCCAAGGCTCTGATGAGGCAGCGGGGCACTGGAGGAGGCCCCCGTGGGGAGGCAGACCCCCGACTTCCACTGCCATGGCCCCAGCCCTGGGGCAGTGCCCTGCCCCTGCCCCCTACCCGCCGTCTCCGCTACATGTCCCCAGCCCAAAGGCGGCTTGGTGGGGATGCTACACTGAAACTTCCTGAGCCCAGAGGCGTCAGGCCTACAGACTGGGCACCCCGGCCAGGAGTTGGGGGGCCACCCTGACCAGGAGCCCAAGCCAAATCTGCTGGCCCACCCAAGGAGTTAGAGCCAGACTACTGTCAGCTCAGAGCCCCCTGCTGTGCTGCCCTCCCTTGGACAAGGCTTCTAGCCTCGGTGTAAAGTGGAGGGTTGTTCTTGCCTTGTTCTGCAACTTAGGGCCGGCCGGGCGCGGCGGTGCACGCCTGTGATCCCAGCATTTTGGGAGGCTGAGGTGGGAGGGTTGCTTGAGACCAGGAGTTGCGGACCCGCCTGGGAAACACAGGGAGACCCCATCTCTACAATAAATAAAACAAATCAGCTGGGTGTGGTGGCGCACGCCTGTAGTCCCAGCTACTCGGGAGGCTGAGGTGGGAGGGTCGCTTGAGTTCAGGAGGTAGAGGCAGCAGTGAGCCAAGATCGTGCCATTGTGCTCCAGCCTGGGCGACACAGCAAGAGGCTGTCTCCTAAAAAAATAAAATAAAAAGCCGGGTGAGGTGGCTCACTCCTGTTATCCCAGCACTTTAGGAGGCTGAAGGCTGGTGGATCACCTGAGGTCAGGAGTTCAAGACCAACCTGACCAACATGGTGAAACTCCATCTCTCCTAAATACAAAAACTAGCCAGGCGTGGTGGTGGTGGACACCTGTAACCCAGATACTTGGGAGGCCAAGCCAGGAGAATCGCTTGAACCCGGGAGACACAGGTTACAGCGAGCCAAGATCATGCCACTGCACTCCAGCCTGGGCAACAGAACAAGACTCCATCTCAAAAAAAAAAGAGAAAAGGACTTGGGCAAGCCCATTGCCTGCACCGGACCTCAGTGTCACAGCCCAGAAAATGGGCTGGAAGTGTCCGCCAGCTGCAGATCCTGAAAAGCACAGGCGCTGCTCCTGAGGGTCGGGCCTTCTGGAGGAGAGGCTCAGGCACCGCTGGAGCTGTGGCGGGAAGACGAGGAACTGCTGCCAAGCACGCTGTGCCCAGGAGCTGTGGGGAAACTGAGGCAAGGAGCTGAATAATGAGGGACTGGAGGGTAGTGCAGACATAGCCGCCGGGCAATGGGGTGGGTGGCGGGACTTTCTGTGGGTGCTGAGGGGACAGGTCTGCCGGAACTCCGCTTTATCTCTGCTTGGAATAAAACTGCTTCATGCCAAAAACGTGTTACCACAGCCTGGCTTCAAATCCAGGAGTCCACAACCCAGCCTGCTCCTCCTTCCGACCCAAGAGTCCAGGCCTCAAACCCTCCTCCCTCAGACCCAGGAGTCCAGGCCCCCAGCCCCTCCTCCCTCAGACCCAGGAGTCCAGGCCCCCAGCCCCTCCTCCCTCAGACCCAGGGGTCCAGGCCCCCAGCCCCTCCTCCCTCAGACCCAGGAGTCCAGGCCCCCAGCCCCTCCTCCCTCAGACCCAGGAGTCCAGACCCGCAGCCCCTCCTCCCTCAGACCCAGGAGTCCAGGTCCCCAGCCCCTCCTCCCTCAGACCCAGTGGTCCAGGCCCCCAGCCCCTTCTCCCTCAGACCCACGGGTCTCTACCTTCAGCCCCTCCTCCCTCAGACCCAGGAGTCCAGACCCCACACCATTTTTTCTCAGACCCAGGAGTCCAGGCCTCGAGCCCCTCCTCCTTCACACCCAGGAATCTAGACCCCCAGACCGTCTTTCCTGACTCTGGAGTCCAGGCCCCCAGCCCGTCCTCCCTCAGACCGGGGAGTCAGGCCCCGTCCCGGGAGGTGAGATACCCAGCACTGGGTTCCTGCAGCACCTTTGCGTCCGGGCGGAGTTCTGAGTTGGGGACCCTCCGGAGGCCTTGGTGTGCAATCTCCATGCCCCGCTGCACGCCCTGCCACCTCCACAGCACATCAAGGAACCTGGGCAGAAGCGACGTGTTTATTCTCAGGGTCTCGGGTGCGACGGCTCACAGGGCTGGCCGGGGCCAGGGCTGGGGCTGGGGCCGGGGCTGGGGCTGGGTCTGGGCTCAGGGTCCAGGCTGGCGTCCTCCTCCGGGTCTTCATCCCAGGGGAAGGTCGGCATCCCCTGCATCTGCCTGCGGTAGACGCGATCGAACGCTTCGCTCTGGGCCACCGTGAAGTGGTTCTTCCAGTCGCCGCAGATCCCTGGAGGGGAGGGGGGATTGGGGTGAGGAGCCTCTGGGGAGCACCACGCCCCTACCTCCCACATTCCAGCACCCTCTTTCCTCCTCCCAGCCCTTGCAGAGCCCTTCCCTGTGCCAGAAATGCCGTCACCCCCATCCTCCACCTTGCCCCCTGTGTCCTTTGGTGACGGAATCTTGGCTGGTCCACCAGTCACCTGGCGCTGTTCTCACCTCGGGCCTCACTGGCCCCGCTCCTGCAGGCTTCCTGCCGTCCTCCCCTTATCCAGGACCCCTTAAGTCTCTGCCCAGAACCTCTGTCTCCACCCCCCAATTCCTGCCCACCTTACAGCCCATGTCACCTCCTCTTCGATCAGTCCCAACCCTCCCCTGCTAGAACGAGGCCACCTGTTTCAGTGCCCCCACAACACTCCATGCTGCTGCTATCACTGCGCAGACACGGAGAGACCCCCTTCTGCAGGTGCTGTGCTCAGGGCTTGCAACCGATTTGCTGACTGGTGAAGCAAGTGAGCCTCGGGAACCCTCTAAGCCTCAGTTTTCTTTTTTGCTTTCTTTTTTTTTTTTTTTGAGACAGAGTCTCATTGTGTTGCCCAGGCTGGAGTGCAATGGTGTGATCTCGGCTCACTGCAACCTCCGCCTCCCGGGTTCAAGGGATTCTCCTGCCTCAGCCTCCCGAGTAGCTGGGACTACAGGCATCTGCCACCATGCCCGGCTAATTTTTGTATTTTTAGTACAGACAGGGTTTCACCATCTTGGCCCGGCTGGTCTTGAACTCCTGACCTCGTGATTTGCCCGCCTCGATCTCCCAAAGTACTGGAATTACAGGCGTGAGCCACTGTGCCCAGCCCAAGTCTCAGTTTTCTCACTGTGGGGCAATCACGGGGGCATCACCCCTCACCTGGAAACCTGTTGCTGTTGGCATTCAGGTGACTGGAGTTTGCCTTTTATTTTTTTTTTTGAGATGGAATTTCATTTTTATTGCCTAGGCTAGAGTGCAATGGCGTGATCTCAGCTTACTGCAGCCTCTGCCTCCCAGGTTCAAGTGATTCTTCTACCTTAGCCTCCCAAGTAGCTGAATCACACCCAGCTAATTTTTTCTTTTTTTTTTTTTTTTTAGTAGAGACGGGGTTTCATCACGTTGGCCAGGCTGCTCTTGAACTCCCAACCTCAGGTGATCCACCTGCCTCAGCCTCCCAAAGTGCTGGGATTTCAGGCATGAGCCATGGCACCTGGCTGCGTAGTTTGCCTTTTAGCAAATCCATGTGCCCCATGTTACCCAACACCCTTAGTGAGGTTGTTGTCGGGGGGAGCTTCCTGGGGTGGGTTGAATAATGACTCCCCCCATATCCACGTTCTTTTTTTTGTTGAGGTTTCGTTCCTGTTACCCAGGCTGGAGTGCAATGGCGCGATCTCGGCTCACCGCAACCTCCGCCTCCTGGGTTCAGGCAATTCTCCTGCCTCAGCCTCCTGAGTAGCTGGGATTACAGGCACACACCACCATGCCCAGCTTATTTTTTGTATTTTTAGTAGAGACGGGGTTTCACCATGTTGACCAGGATGGTCTCGATCTCTTGACCTCGTGATCCACCCGCCTCGGCCTCCCAAAGTGCTGGGATTACAGGCTTGAGCCACCGCGCCCGGCCCGCCTCCTAGGTTTAAGAGATTTTCCTGCCTCAGTCTCTTGAGTAGCTGGGATTACAGGTGTGTGCCACCATGCCCGGCTAATTTTTGTATTTTTACTAGAGATGGGGGTTTCACCATGTTGGTCAGGCTGGTCTCGAACTCCTTACCTTGTGATCCACCAGCCTCGGCCTCCCAAAGTGCTGGGATTACAGGTGTGAGCCACTGCACCTGGCCTCCCATATCCACGCTCTAATCCTTGGAACCTGTGAATATGTGACCTTACATGGCAAAAGGGATTTTGCAGATAATTAAATTAAGCTAAAGATCTGGAGATGGGAAGAGGACCCTGAAGTATCTGGGTGGGCTCAGTGTCGTCCTCACGTGGGTCCCTGTAAAATGGAGGAAGGGCCGGATGTGGTGACTCACGCCTGTAATCCCAGCACTTTGGGAGGCTGAGGTGGGTAGATCACGAGCTCAGGAGTTTAAAACCAGCTGGGCCAAAATGGTGAAACCCCATCTCTACTAAAAACTACAAAAATTATCCAGGTGCAGTGGCAGGCACCTGTAATCCCGGCTACTCGGGAGGCTGAGGCAGTAGAATCACTTACCTGGGAGGTGGAGGTTGTGGTGAGCTGAGATCACACCACCGCACTCCTGGGCAACAAGGGGGAACCTCTGTCTCAAAAACCAAAAACCAAAAACCAAAAAAACAAACAAAAAAAATTAAAAAAAAAAAAGAAAAACACACCAGTCAGGCACAGTGGCTCACGCCTATAATCCTAGCACTCTGGGGACCCAGGCAAGTGGGTCACTTGAGGTCAGGAGTTGGAGACCAGCTTGGCCAAGATAGTGAAACCCTGTCTCTACTAAAAATACAGAAAGATTAGCTGGGTGTGGTAGGCACACCTGTAGTCCCAGCTACTTGGGAGGCTGAGGCAGGAGAATCACTTGAACCTGGGAGGCGGAGGTTGCAGTGAGCCGAGACTGGGCCCCTGCACTCCAGCCTGGGCGACAGAGCGAGGCTCTGTCTCAAAAAGAAAAAAAAGAGAGTGGGTAAGTGTGTGTTGTTGTGAGCCCGCAGTTTGTGCTGTTTTGTTACAGCAGGAGGAAGGAACGGCCACGCCTCGGCCTGCGCCCACCCAGCGCTTGAGTATTTCCGCAGTGAACACGGCTGTGAAGGAGGATTCGCAGAGACTCTAAATCTCCCCCCGGGTGGATCTGCAGCGCTCCTGGAAGTTTTGGTCTCGTCGGGGGTTCTCTGGGTGGGAAGGCCTTGGGTGGCTGGCACGTGTGCCGGGCCAGTGCTAAGCCCTGTGTGTGGTCAACCCTGGGGCCACAGTGCCCCCGTTCACCCAGTGCTACAGCTGGGTGAGAAACAAGCCCAGAGAGGCTAAGTAACTCGAAGGTCACACAGCCGGGCAGTGCCTAGTGGGCTCCAAACCCCAGAGCCCCCGCACCTTTCCGGAGGAAGGCCCCACGGCGGTGGTCCAGCAGGCTGGGGGGCAGCAGCGTGTAGTTGGACATGGTGTTGGCCTTCATGGCGCTGAAGGTTGAGTGCGCCACGACGGAGCCCAGCGCCTCCTTGCTCAGTGGATGGCCCAGGAACTCGCAGATGCGCTGCACACAGCCCTGTAAGTCCTGCGGGCAGAGAAGAGGGGTCAGTGGAGGGATGGCACCCCCGCCAAGGAAGGGGCGTGGCACCTGGGGTCTGGATGTCCGAGTCCCAACCTCTTTGCCTCAGTTTCCCCAACTCCAAGCTGAGGGGCTAAGTTGTATCACCTCTAAGGCTTTTTGCAGTTTCTGTCTTTGCAGGGTTCTCTAGGTGGGAGGGAATGGGGGGCTTGGAGCAGAGGTCAGAGCAGGAGGCAGAGGTCAGTGTGCCCCCTTACCCGGATCACCCTTCTTCGAGTTAGAGGCAGGCACTGGCTGGTCTACATCTCGACCTCTTTCTTTCTTTCTTTCTTTTTTTTTTGAGATGGAGTCTCACTCTGTCCCCTAGGCTGGAGTGCAGTGGCGTGATCTCGGCTCACCACAACCTCTGCCTCCCAGGTTCCAGCGATTCTCCTGCCTCAGCCTCCCAAGCAGCTGGGATTACAGGCATGCGCCACCACGCCCAGCTAGTTTTTGTGTTTTTAGTAGAGACGGGGTTTCACCAAGTTGGCCAGGATGGTCTCGATCTCTTGACCTCGTGATCCGCCCGCTTCAGCCTCCCAAAGTGCTGGGATTACAGGTGTAAGCCACTGCGCCCGGGCTGTCTACATCTCAGACCTGCCCCTCCCCTAGGCCCCTTTGCAGGATGGCCCCACCAACCACCCAGGAGCCTGGCGTCCCTCTCTGGGTACCCATCACCCCCAAACCCCATTTGTCATCAGCGCTATCCCTCCCTGCCTGCCTCCCCTTACCATGTCCCTTCCTCTGTGTCCCAATAGCCTAACTCTGCTCGGTGCTTCTCCTCCCCTTCCTGGTCCCACGCCCCGGCCTGCTGCTCCACAGCCTCCCTGCCTCCAGTCTCCATCTGTCCCCCCACAGCCAAGCTCACCCTGCTCCTCACTGGCTCCCAACTCTCCCATGGCTCCTGAGTATCCTGGGACAGAGTCCCAGACCCACACCCAGCTTTTTTTTTTTTGAGACTGAGTTTTGCTCTTGTTACCCAGGCTGGAGTGCAATGGCGCGATCTTGGCTCACCGCAACCTCCGCCTCCTGGGTTCAGGCAATTCTCCTGCCCCAGCCTCCTGAGTAGCTGGGATTACAGGCATGTGCCACCATGCCCAGCTAATTTTTTGTATTTTTAGTAGAGACGGGGTTTCACCATGTTGACCAGGATGGTCTCGATCTCTTGACCTCGTGATCCACCCGCCTCGGCCTCCCACAGTGCTGGGATTACAGGCTTGAGCCACCGTGCCCGGCCACACACCCAGCTTTTAAGAACAGCTGTGGGCTGGGCGCAGTGGCTCATGGCTGTAATCCCAGCACTTTGGGAGGCTGAGATGGGCGGATCACTTGATGTCGGGAGTTCAAGACCAGCCTGGCCAACAAGGTGAAACCCTGTCTCTACTAACAATATAAAAATCATCTGGGTGTGGTGGTGGGCATCTGTAATTCCAGCTACTCAGGAGGCTGAGGCAAGAGAATTGTTTGAACTGGGAGGTGGAGGTTGCAGTGAGCCAAGGTCCCACCACTGTACTCCAGCCTGGGTGTCAGAGTGACTCTGTCTCAAAAACAAAACAAAGCAGTAACGACGTGATCTGGTCTCAGCTCTTCCAATCCCTCTCCCACCCTCTCCCTCTCCTTTTGGGATTCACCATTTCCTATACATTCCTCCCCCAGGCCTTGGCATGGGACCTCCAGAAGGGCCCACTGCCACGGCTGCAGCTCAAATATTACCTTCCTTACTGAGTGCCTGCTATGTACCAAGCTCTGGTCCAAGCCCCCCATATATTTGTGCCGATCCTGCCGTCAGCTTTGCAAGGGAAGTGTTATTATCTCAATTGGCAAACAGAGGCCCAGAGAGGGAGAGACACTTGTCCAAAGTTACACAGCCAGAGAGGAGCTCAGGCTCCTGAAGCCCTTAGTCTTTGACTCTGCCTCTCTGCCTTTTTTTTTTTTTTTTTTTTTGAGACAGAGTTTCGCCCTTGTTGCCCAGGCTGGAGTGCAATGGCATGATCTTGGCTCACCAATCGCTGCCTCCCAGGATCAAGTGATTCTCTTGCCTTAGCCTCCCAAGTAGCTGGGTCTACAGGCACGCGCCACCATGCCCGGCTAATTTTGTATTTTTAGTAGAGATGGAGTTTCTCCTTGTTGGTCAGGCTGGTCTCCAACTTCCGACCTCAAGTGATCCACCTGCCTTGACCTCCCAAAGTGCTGGGATTACAATGAGACTGAGTATTGCTCTGTCGCCCAGGCTGGAGTGCAGTGGTGCTATCTTGGCTCACTGCCACCTCCTCCTCGTAGGTTCAAGCGGTTCTCCTGCCTCAGTCTCCCAAGCAGCTGGGATTATAGGCATGCACCACCATGCCTGGCTATTTTTTGCATTTTTAGTAGAGACGGGGTTTTACCACGTTGGGCAGGCTGGTCTTGAACTCCTGACCTCAAGTGATCTGCCTGCCTGAGCCTCCCAAAGTGCTGGGATGACAGGCATGAGCCACCACGCCCGGCCCTTGCTGCCTTCTGATACGCAGTGCCCAGCACGGTCAGCCCTCTGGTCAGCTCCGCCAACTTCACGGCTTCAGTTTTCCAGGTCACTCTGGGTTTCATAACCTTCCATCTCTTTATCTTCTTGAACCACTGACGTGTCCCAGAAATTCTAACATGTGGGCGGCGCCTCACACCCAGGGGCAGCCCAGAAGCTCCGTTAGGCTCTGTGGCCCAGTTCTGGCCTTGGAGAAGAAAGCTTGCTGAGAATGAGGGGGAGGAGTAGTGACAACACCTTTTCTGGTGCTTTCCATTAAAAGAAAGTTACCAGGGTGGAAAAAAAATAACCACAGAGTCTGCAGGCAAGAGCCACGTGCCTTGGGCAGATTACCAACCCTCTCTTAAGTTACAAACCGCCAGTCTCCTCCTCGATAAAACAGGGATAATAACAACATTTGGGAAAACCATATAAAATTACTTTTTTTTTTTTTGGATACAGAGTCTTGCTCTGTCACTGAGACTGGAGTACAATGGCACGATCTTGGCTGACCGCAACCTCCCCCTCCTGGGTTCAAGCGATTCTCCTGCCTCAGTCTCCCGAGTAGCTGGAATTACAAGCACCCACCACCATGCCAGGCTAATTTTTTTGCATTTTTAGTAGAGACGGGGTTTCACCGTGTTGGCCAGGCTGCTCTCGAACTCCTGACCTCAAGTGATCCACCTGCCTTGGCCATGTCTGGCCCTGTTTTTTTTTTTTTTTTTTTTTTTTTTTGAGACGAAGTTCTATTTTTGTTATCCAGGCTGGAGTGCAATGGCACCATCTCTGCTCACTGCAGCCTCCGTCTTCGGGGTTCAAGTGATTCTCCTGCCTCAGCCTCCCGAGTAGCTGGGATTACAGGCGTGCACCACCATGTCCGGCTAATTTTGTATTTTTAGTAGAGATGGGGTTTCTCTGTGTTGGTCAGGCTGGTCTCGAACTCCCGACCTCAGGTGATCCGCCCACCTCGGCCTCCCAAAGTGCTGGGATTACAGGCGTGAGCCACCACACCCAAACTTTGTTTTTAATTTTAAAATTATTTTTATTTTTGTAGCGTTGGAGTCTCACTTATGTTGCGCAGGTGGAGTGCAGGGACTCTTCACAGGCGAGAACCCACTGATGATCAGCACAGGAGACTTCTGACCTGCTCCATTTCTGACCTGGGCGGGTTCCCCGCCTCCTTTTGCAAAGTGGTGGTCCCCTGCTGCAAGGAGGTCACCATGCTGATGCTGAAGTTAGTGCGGACACCAAACTGGCATAGTGCACTGTAGCCCAGGACTCCTGGGCTCAAGCGATCCTGCTGCCTCAGCTTCCCACGTAGCTGGACTACAGGTGCGCACCACCAGTCCCGGCCCAGCCTCCTCTTTGCTGCTATAGCTGTAGGCGTTCTTCAGAGCCCCTTCTTCCAGGGAGCCTTCCTTGATGGTCCCAGCAGAAAGGATCTCTCTCCTCTACATTCCTGCCCCAGGGATATTGAGTGGGCCCAGCTAGGATCCCAGTGGAAGCTTGCTTGCTCTTTATTTTCTTTTCTTTCCTTTGATTTTTTTCTTTCTTTTTCTTTCCCTCCCTCCCTCCCTCCCTTCGTCCCTCCCTCCCTTCCTCCCTTCCTTCCTGATGGAGTTTCTCTCTTGTTGTCCTGGCTGGAGTACAATGGCACACTCTCAGCTCACTGCAACCTCTGCCTCCCGAGTTCAAGCGATTCTCCTGCCTCAGCCTTCCGAGTAGCTGGGATTACAGGCATGCACCATAAGGTGCGGCTAATTTTACGTTTTTAGTAGAGACAGGGTTTCTCCATGTTGGTCAGGCTGGTCTCAAACTCCCACCTCAGGCGATGCCCCCACCTGAGGCGATCCCCCCGCCTTGGCCTCCCAAAGCCAAGGATTACAGGTGTGAGGCACTGCACCCTCCCTCCCTGCCTGCCTTCCTCCCTTCCTTCCTCCCTTCCTTCCTCCACTCTCTTCTTCCTCTCTTCCTCCCTTCCCTTCCTTCCCTCCCTTCCCAGATCCTAGTCTAAGCTCCAAAGGCTCTTTCCTTCCACTGTTTCCCGTCTCCCTTCCCTTCTCCCTTCTCTTCCTTCCCTTCCTTCTTGATAGGGTCTCTCTCTGTCTCCCAGGCTGCAGTGCAGTGGTGCGATCTCGGCTCCGTGCAAACTCCGCCTCCCAGGCTGAACCAATTCTCGTGCCTCAGCCTCCCGAGCAGCTGGGATTACAGGTGCACGCCACCACTCCTGGCTAATGTTCATATTTTTTGTAGAGACAGGGTTTCGTCATGCTGGCTAGGCTGGTCTCGAACTCCTGACCTCCGGTGATCTGCCCACCTTGGCCTCTCAGAGAGCTGGGATTACAGGTGTGAGCCACCGCGTCCGGCCTTTTCTCTGCGTATCAAGTCCTGACCATCACTGCAGCTCACCTGCCATCTGTCATCTGATCACCTCCCCTGTCCAGAGCCCACCCACGGCTCCCACCTACTCAGAGCAAAGCCATAGTCCTTATGACTGCCCTGTTCCTCCTCGGCCCTCCTCTCACGCCCGTGCCTGCGCCCGTGCGCTCGCCTTCCCTTACTTGGCTCTGGTCACGCCGATCTCTTCGCTGTCCTTAAAATACATCAAGGACCAGCCTGGGCAACATAGTAAGACCCCTACTTCTAAAAATTATTTTTTAATTAACGGGGTATGGTGGCCCATGCCTATAGTTCTAACTACTCAGGAGGTTGAGGCAGGAGGATTGCTTGAGCCCAGGAGGTCGAGGCTGCAGTGAGTCATTACTGTACCACTGCACTCCAGCCTGGGCAACAGAGGAAGACCTCATCTCTTTCTCTCTCTCTTTTTCTTCTTTTTGAGATGGAGTTTCTATCATGTTGCCCAGGCTAGAGCGCAGTGGCACAATCTCAGCTCACTGCAACCTACACCTCCCAGATTCAAGCAATTCTCCTGCCTCAGGCTCCTGAGTAGCTGGGACTACAGGCAGGCATCTGCCATCATGTCCGGCTAATTTTTTTTTTTTTTTTTTTTTGTATTTTTAGTAGAGACGGAATTTCACCACACTGGCCAGGCTGGTCTTGAACTCCTGACCTCAGATGATATACCTGCCTTGGGCTCCCAAAGTGCTGGGATTACACGTGTGAGCCACTGTGCCAGGATTTTTTTTTTTTTTTTTTTGAGGTGGAGTCTTACTCTGCCACCCAGGCTGGAGTGCAGTGGTGGGATCTCAGCTCACTACAAACTTCACCTCCCAGACTGAAGCCATTCCCCTGCCTCAGCCTCCTGAGTAGCTGAGAGTACAGGCGCATGCCGCTGTGCATGGCTAATTTTTGTATTTTTAGTAGAGATGGGGTTTTACCACGTTGGCCAGGCTGGTCTCGAACTCCCGAACTCAAGTGATCTGCCTGCCTTGGGCTCCCAAAGTGCTGGGATTACAGGTGTGAGCCACTGCTCTCTCTCTTTTGAGACAGGGTTTTGCTCTGTGGCCCAGGCTGGAGTACAGTGGCACCATCATAGCTCATTGTGGCCTTGACCTCTTGGGTTCAAGGGATCCTCCCACCTCAACCTCCCAAAGCTTTGGGATTACAGGCGTGAGCCCCTGAGTCCAGCCAACCCCCTGTGTTAGATCTCGCCCCTGCCCGCCCATTCCTCATGTTCCTTCCGGCTGGCCTTCCCTCCTTAGCTCCTCTGCCCCGCTGGCCTGCTGTGTGGTTTGGGGGTTTTGTCTGCGGTCCCTGCTCACCACTCTGTGTGTTCTCTTCTGGCTGTATCCCCAGGGCTGGCGCATTGCGTGGGGGAAGCGGAGGGGTCCTGAGACCCCCGGGAAGGGGAGAGACGGGGGTGTGAGCAGAGGGCGTGGGGGACGCTGCACCTGGCGGGGGTCGGACTCACCTGCTGCAGCTCCTCGTAGGTGATAAATAGGAAGTTGTCTCTGCCCTGCATCCGAAGCCAGCCCTTAATGTGGTCGAACCAGGAGCCAAATTGCACTGTGGGCAGAAGGACAAGAGGGGTGAGGGCGGAGTGGCAGGGTCCCCGCAGCCCCCCGTGGGGCTCATCCCTTCCCTTCCATCTTGATAGGGTCTCACTCTGTTACCCTGAAGCAGAAAGGACTCAGGGCAGACATTTTTTTTTTTTTTTTTTTTTTTTGAGACGGAGTTTCACTCTGTCACCCAGGCTGGGGTGTGGTGGTGCGATCTCAGCTCACCGAAACCTCTGTGTCCCGGGTTCAAGAGATTCTCCTGCCTCAGCCTACCGACTAGCCAGGCGTTCGCCACCACACCTGCTTAAGACAGCTGGACGCGCCCCCCTAGGCCCCCACATCTCCACCAAGTTCAGGGCTCTTCCAACCTGCTTCTCCCCGGTTGCCCGTCTTGGGGGGCCCTGGTCTATCTGTCCATCCAGTCCCCCTCCACCGCACACCTGGATTTCCCGCCAAAGGTAGGGTCTCCTACAGCAGCAGAGAAAGGAACAGGTGGCCGAGGGCCCCTGCCTTTCTCAGTACCTGGGACCTGTGTCCTTCTGTTTCCTTGTCTCTGACTCCATCTCTCTTTCTGAATTTATTTCCTTATCTCTTTTTATTTTTAATTCTTATTTATTTATTTATTTATTGAGTGGGAGTCTTGCCCTCTCGCCCAGGCTGAAGTGTCATTGTGCGATCTTGGCTCACTGCAACCTCTGCCTCCCGGGTTCAAGCAATTCTTCTGCCTCAGCCTCCTGCGTAGCTGGGATTACAGGCTCCCACCGCCACACTTGGTTAATTTTTGTATTTTTAGTAGAGACGGGGTTTCACTGTAATGGCCAGGCTAGTCTCTTGGCCAGGCAGGTCTTGAACTCCTGGCCTCCTGCTCCGCCCACCTCAGCCTCCCAAAGTGTTGGGATTACAGGCATGAGCCACTGCCCCAGGCCTGTTTATTTAATATTTTTGAGACAGGGTCTCACTCTGTTGTCCAGGCTGGAGTGCAGTAGCGCCATCTCTGTTCACTGCAACCGCCCCCATGGAATCAAGCGAGCTTCCCACTTCAGCCTACTGAGTAGCTGGGATTACAGGCATGTGCCATGATGCCTGGCTAATTTTTGTATTTTTAATAGAAAAATACAACCATGTTGGCCAGGCTGGTTTTGAACTACTGACCTCAAGTGATCTGCCTGCCTCTGTCTCCCAAAGTGCTGGGATTCCAGGTGTGAGCCACTGCACTGGGCCCATCGAGAATTTTTGATAGAGACAGGGTTTCTCCACAGTAGTCAAGCTGGTCTCAAACTCATGACCTCAGGTGATCCGCCCGCCTTGGCCTCCCAAAGTGCTGGGATTACGGGTGTGAGCCGCCACGGTGCCTGGCTCCCTGTCTCTTTTTGTTGCCCTGTCTCAGTCTTTCTGCATTTGTGTCTCTCCCTGTCTCTGTCTCCTCTTCTCTGTCCCCTGCTTGTCCTGTGTCTCTCAGTCTCTCCTTCCGTCTCTGCATCTCCTGGTCGCCTGCTCTCTGTCTCTGCCGCCCCTTTTGACACCCTGTGTCTCTGCCTCTCTCCCATTCTTGCCCCTCCTCTGTCCCTCTGCCCATCTGGGTCCTCTGGGGGCTCCTTCCCAGCCCTCCAGCCCCACTCTGCCCTGTCCTCACCTTCACCTTTGAGGAAGTCCCGCAGGAACTGGTTGGGCGTTCCCGGGTCCTTTAACTGTCCAGCGATCTTGGAGTAATGATAGAGGGAGACCATGACGTCCCGGGGGTTCCGGCCCATGTAGATCACCTGCGTGCAGATGATGGGGAGAAGGGAGAAGGCGTCAGACACAGGCAGGCCCCTGGCCCCTGAGGCTTCCTGCCCTCGCGCCCCCTCTCTTCTGACCCTGAAGCAGGAAGGACCCTGGGCAGACTCTTTTTTATTTTTTTTGAGGTGGAGTCTCACTCTGTCGCTCAGGTTGGAGTGCAATGACGGGGTCTTGACTCACTGCAAACTCCACCTCCCGGGTTCAAGCGATTCCGCTGCCTCAGCCTCCTGAACTCAAGTGATCTGCCCGCCTCAGACTCCCAAGTGCTGGGATTACAGATATGAGCCACCATGCCCAGCCTGCTCTTATTTTTTAGAAACAAGGTCTTGTAGGCCAGGTGCTGTGGCTCACGCCTGTAATCCCAGCATTTTAGGAGGCCGGGGTGGGTGGATTACCTGGGGTCAGGAGTTTGAGACCAGCCTGGCCAACACGATGAAACCTCATCTCTACTAAAAATACAAAAAATTAGCCAGGCATGGTGGTGGGTGCCTGTATTCCCAGCTATTTGGGAGGCTGAGGCAGGAGAATCACTTGAACCTGGGAGGCAGAGGTTGCAGTGAG